TTGAGATTAATAAAGTTATTCCTTACCTTACTTATATCTTAGCTAACCTCGGCTTAAGTTTTACAATAGGTCTACGAGCCTGCTTACTTTTGATAATATAATCTTTAACAACCTTGTATGGCGGCAGCTGTGTTAACACTGAGACTGAACTGTCAATAATATGCTGCATATCTCATGAAAAAAGTCAGTATTCAGTAGCATTACCGCTGTGGAAGCGAAGAGACAGCAGCACAGAAACAACAACAAATGTACTGTCTCTGTGGAAAGCACTGCATGTTAGCACATGTAAGCTGAAGGGTATGCTCTTTTGCTTGTTGCAGTTTATGGCTGTGTGTTGAAATTGCATCAAGGACACACACACAAACACATATGCGGAACAGTGCATTCCTTACAGAAGATAACACATAAAAGTCAGGTCAACATCAGCAGCTAGTATCAACACTGTCATCATCAGTTTTATTTGTGCTCAGAGTTTGGTCTACAACACAATTTCCAGCACCGAAACTGAAATCACATGGCCCCAAAACCATTTTAGGAAAGGAAAAGAAACGAAAGAACCATAAATATATGAAAGGGCTACATGTGTTTAACAAGCATGAATAAAAAGGAAATTACAGAGAATGAATGGCATGTAGAAAAAATCTCTTACAAAACAAGTTTTTAAAAAAAAAAATCATCTGATGTTCTTCTCTGCATTTTACAAGCTACTGAGCTCCTGCAGTGTTTGGTCCAGGACCTGGTGCATTCCTAGGTTTTCCTCTTTTGCGTTTGATAGGTTCTCTGTAATAAAAAGTAGCAGCAGATTTAAAATCAGTGAACACATAATATATATATATAGAAATATATAAATGCAGTGAGTAATCTGATAAAATATGGCTCATTTTAGAGCAGAGCATTAAGAAACACACTCATTTGGCCTTTTCAAGTGGGCAGAATACAGAAACAATAATAGCTGCAGTGTAGTGAAGAGCAGGCTTCAGTGAAATGACAGAAGACAGGGTAAAAGAGAAAAAAGTCTTTATTGATATTCAGTTCAACGCAAAATAGAAAGGAGCAGTGAAAGTGATGAAAAAAAAGAAGAGACAAAGTGCTTCAAATAAGGCAAAGAAAGTCAATAGGAAAGTGAAAGCTTCCTAAGCTGAATGTGAGGTTTACAAGGTGTTCATATCATTGAGGGCATGATCCAGCTCCTCGCTGATAGCCTTGAACTTCAGCTTCTGAGTGTACAGCTCGTCTGCAGGTCAAAGGGCAGAGAGGAAACAAGTGGAGAAGGTTCAAAGGGAAAATGCAGGTTTGTGCAGACCGTGGAGGGAAATCAGAAAGAGAAAGACAGAAAGCACAGATTAAAGATTAAGAATACTAAAGAGTCAGGAAAGAAACAGTGAAGATTATTGTAGGATTGAAAGAAAATCGTACCTTCTAAGTCATCTATGGTCTTTTCCAGTTTAGCCACTGTCCTTTCCGCAAATTCTGCACGGGTTTCCGCCTTTAAAAAAAACAAAACAATGAACATATTAATCATGCAGACACAACCTCTGTTAATGAACACATCTTAAGTAAATGTGAACATACCTCCTTAAGTCTGTCATTCAGGACTTTAATCTCTTCCTCGTATTTGTCTTCCTTCTCAGAGTACTACACAGAGAGAGAAAGTTAATCATTTAACTGCCGAAACTGTTTTTACAAACAACTAGTTTTACAATGTTTCTGTTTGCAAATATGTACTATTTCATGTTTTTATGCTTGCACTGCATCAGTACTTATGCTACATGGCACATTATAAAACAAGTGTGAGTGTGTGAAGTTGTTTGAGATCAAGCAGAAATGTGGCAGACAACTTACCTTATCAGACTGAGCCTCTAGAGACTTCAGGTTGTTTGTGACGTTCTTCAGCTCCTCTTCCAGGTCAGCACACTTACTACAATAAGGAAGCATGTCTTTTATTAACAACTGTTTAAAGTTCTCATGTGATCATCCTGATAACAGCCACATGATGCCAGCAAGCTTTTCTGCTATATTTGTGCTTACACCTCTGCGATTTCTGCCCTCTCCTCTGCCCTCTCCAGCTCACCCTCCAGGATTACCAGTTTACGGGCAACCTGCCATTAAAAGACATAAAAACACAAACATGACCTCAGACTCATTTGAAAACTGAAGAACAGCTGAAACGTGATCTCTGTTTCCGTACCTCCTCATATTTGCGGTCGGCCTCCTCAGCAATGTGTTTGGCTTCTTTGAGTTGCATCTCCTGAATCTCCATCTTTTCCTCGTCTTTCATGGCTCTGTTCTCAATCACCTTCATGCCTCTGAAGCGAGAAAGACACACAACCTTTAGTTAAAAACCACAAAGAGCTGTATTAATAAGGCATCTCCAACACTTACACCAGCTAGAGGTGACTTTCAGTTAAAAATACTATTTAAAAATATGACTGTAAATATTTTTGGTGGTGAATCACCTTCTTCTGCCCTGATAATGAGAAGATATGTAAGAAACTGTAAGTGAGCTATTTGACACGCAAATATGGGGTCTAAAATCTTGATAGAAAGCATAAAGTCTAGAAAGTTATGGCATAACTTTGCAGCACTGTTTCAGTGTTCAGGCAGTTGTATGTTGTTTGTGGTTGCTGTTCAACTTTTCATTTCTTAAAACGTCACATGAAACAGTAAATGTTTCCAGAACCAGCACTTTGCAAACATCTTCATACCAAACAGCAAGTTTAGTAAGTGTACTAGTTCCCTGGTGTGACGTAGGAATTCCTATTGTTTTCTATAGATGTTTGAAAAATGCCCCTCTGTTGAAGTTTTCTTTACCAAAAATGTCCTTTGAGCTCTTAGGGAATATACAACACATTCCTTTGCTTTCCTCTGTGATTCTAACCAGTGAAACTGTGGATGATTTTAGCCTGCTCAGCTATGTCTGTTTGCTCTGGTTTCATTAAATTGCTGGTTAATATCGATATGGTAACAGCGAATGCCTCTGATGTGTGGAACATGTATTAAGTTTGTGTGTTGTGTAGTAGATAAAATAAAACAACACATTTCCTTCCAAAACCTTCTGAATTGGCCTCACAGCAACAAGGCAATTACACGTGTGTCTATAGATGTATGTTCGTTGTCACCTTTCACTCTCGTCGGCAGCCTTTTCAGCCTCCTCCAGCTTCTGCAGGGCCGTGGCCAGCCTCTCCTGAGCACGATCCAGCTCCTCCTCCACCAGCTGGATCCTGCGGTTCAAAGATGCCACATCGCCCTCAGCCTTTAGCAATGCAGGAAGAGATGGAGAGGACGAGGTCAGAGGTCAGTCAGGAAACATGCAGCTGCCACAGCAGGAAGGACGGTATTCAGGATAAAAAATGGGCTCTGCATTTGAAAATCATGTACTTCAAACATAAGGAGTGGTTCAGTATAACTACAGGCCTGTTTACTATGTTGTTGCAGTCAAATGTTGTGAATGTTCTGGGCTATGTATCCACGGTTGTTGATCAATTCTCCCTGGACACGCAACTATTCCTGTTTCACGGTCAGTTTCACTGCTCACAACCATGAAGAGTTCTGGACTTTGCAGCTTGACCTGCTTCTTGGAGAACATGCTGATGCAGCACAACAGCTTAAGCTCACATATGTGAAATGACACAGCTGGCTGGACTTCAGCAATGTAAAGCCATGCAAAGTTTGGGCAACTGCCTGTTTCCTGTCGGACTGATATCCCAGATAACCACGTCTGTTCTCTTCTTCCTGGCTGAGGAGGAGCAGCAGGACTACAGATCCTGGTCTCACCCACACTGTGTCAAGTGCGATTCAGTCAGAGGGCTCAGAGGGAACAAAGAGTTTTTACAAAGCAAGAACAAACCCGATGTCTCAAAATGTTAGTGGAAACAATAAAAGCCTTTAAAAACCTACACTCTGGTTGTTCTAACCAGTGGTGGACTAGTCGGTGTCCCAGCAGACATGGGGCGGGTTAAGGTTGGACAAACCCTCCCGAACTAAACTCGACAAAGGAATGTCGCTACAATGATGTCTCAACTTGCCTCTGAAACAACCGATCCAAGCAAGATTTAAAGAAAAAATCCTCCCGTGTTGGCACACATGTACGGTTTATATGTTTATATCTGTATTGTAATCGCTTGTTGCTCTGACAGACTGCGTAAATTCTTTAGTCCTCAGGAAAGATGCTAAAACAGCTGAGTCTAAAAAGTAAACATAAAATGCGTCTGAAGCTGGTTAAATGATATTTGATCTCACTTTTTCGCGCAGTTCCCGTTCAGTGTCCAGCTCCCTTTGTACTGCCAGTGCACGATCCTCCGCCTCATCAACTTGTTGCTGGAGGCTTTGGATTTTCTTCTTCACCACGTCCATGATTTCGATTGCTTTGTTTTCTCAAAAAGCAAGCAAAAAAAAAAAAAAAAGCTAAGCCCAAAACGTAGCAGACTAAAACTGCTCCTAAGTTATTGATTTGCGTCAAAAGTTACAGACTCCGAGAACTTTTCTCGGGCAGGAAATCAGGGACGCGCAGGGCTGGGATGGGAAAAGGGCTGGGAGTTTTCAGGAAATTTATGGCGAGATCATCCAATCCTGTGAAGAAGCCTGTCTCAGATGACATCACAGGATTTAGGAGGGGAAGGGACTACTCTTTCCTCCACAAAAGAGGTGTGTAATGTCACTCCGTGTGTGAGTGGAAGTCTGGATTTTCCATTGTGGACTTATATGGCAAATTTAAGGTGTTCCTTTTGGCTGCGATTTCCGGCTCTGATTAAAATGCGCAAGGATCGGAGAAGGAATCGTTTACGTCTGAGTCATCTCTTTGAGACACTGTGTGATCACTGTGAATCATATCTAATGTGAATCATAACATATGATCGACTATGGTTGTGCAAAAGAGAAATGGAGTAAAAGGAGAAAGAGGCAACTAGTAGCCTGTATGGAAATCAGTGGTCCAAGGCTTTGGTTGTGGAGGGAGGAGGAGGGAGGGTCAAGGCTGGGGTGGGGCGGTAATAATCCTCTTCAATAGGGGTTGTTGACCTGCAGTGGCTTGGAATGTAAATTGATTTGGTTGTAGACATGACCTGCAGCCATGGGGTGGCGACACATTCCTTCAGCGCAGCCTTCTGCCTCCTCCTCACTTTTAGAGCAAGTCCTGGATTTATTTTCTCTTTCTGTCCTCGCATTTCTATAAATCAGCATCCCTCATAAGCAATGTGAAACACATTAGAAGACGTTGGAAGAAGCAGCAGTGGCGCACAGACCTGCGAACAGTAGATCTGTGGGTACCTGATAGGTAACCTGAGAGACAAATCATCTGTTTCACCTTTAACCTCTGAGGCCTTAACTCACCTGGTAGCTTTAAAGCTTCAGTGTGGGGGTCCTTTTAAGTTGGTGCCATATTCCGTTCAAATGTGCCATAAATATTCGAGCTGAAACCGCTACAAAAGCTACCAAGATATTAGGAAACTAACAAGATGTCAGATAAGAATTTCCTTGTGTCAGTGTCAAAATCTCTGGTAGTATCTTGTGCCATACCAGTGGTATTATTTTGGCTCCTTACTACACACAAATGAGGCCAAGTCTGTCTGTTTCCAGATTTCTTTTCACTGTAAACTGCTTTAAATTAAAGATCAAATTTAACTATGTCTCATCTGGCTTTTATTTTTTTAGCTACTTGACATTTTTACCAGAAAGGACACATTTTAGTAATCAGTATATGAAGAAAACATAGATGGTCTTTTAAAATCAGTGTTTATTCACCATTGCACATGAACTAGGTATGTACTGTAAGAGCAGACAGAGGAGAGTGTAATATCTCCACCCCAAAAAAGGCCAAAGCATTGATTTCATTAGACACTGCAGTATGGGGTTCTCTGTTTGCTTAAGCTGCATTCCTGGGATTCCTGGTCGGCTACAGGCTGGCCAAGTTTTGTCTGTGCTTGAGAAATAGTTCAGTTACAGACCTCAGTGAGCCACCAATAACTTGGGTATTCTCAACAGTATCTGGGTTAGAAAATGCGGACGAGTCATTTCAGGATTCATTTGGGGCTGTTTGTCCTACAGAAGAGCCATGTAGCAGTGTGACAGTAGGAGTTTTGGATGAATTGTTGTGTTTAATTTCATGGGAATTCTTTTGAATAAACATCTCTTTTTCATTACTATTTTATTATATTATGTGTTGTTACATTTCTGAAGGTCCTCCTGTGTTTTGTCACCTAGGAACAACCAAACTACACGGCACTATAAAGGTGAGTCTGACATTGCCCTGTGCTCTGTGTTGTATAAGTAAGTAGAGCAACACAACTGAGTGCAAAAGCACTTCATTTACTGATTTCTTTTGAACTGATTTTGAACTTTCATCTCTGTTCCTGTTCTTTTTCCAACCACTGACAGATAAGTAATCCACTCCATCTGAATGAGTGGATATTGATACTTTGAAGGACTTAGGTAGTGGTGTTTCACTGTAGTGTGAATAATGTGTTTCAGATGGCGTCTTTCTGGTGAACTCACATCTGTGGCCTTCTTCTCCGACAGTTCCAGTTTCTCCTGAGCATCCTTCAGGGCCTCTGAGTACTTGTCCAGTTCATCCTCTGTTCCCTTCAGTTTCTTTTGCAGACCGAGCAGCTCATCCTCCAGCTGAGAGAGGGCAGATGTGGCAGAAAGTCATCTTATTTTTTTATAGAACATATTTTTACAGAACAGCTGAATGTTGATGTTTGGGATTATTAATGATATAGTTCATAATGGTGAGTGACAAAGGGACAGGATTGACCATAAGTGATTCTGTTTGTAATGCTCACAAGTGTACAGTTATGATAGAAGATCGTCAGAGCGGTTTTTGGGAGCAGAAGTTCTTGGAGGAGAATTTACAGGATTACCAAACTCTGTGGGTTTTGTCCTCTGGTTACAACAAATGCCTCTAAAAAGTACGATAGTATGATATTTTAGTCTGGTGGTGAAACTAGATGAAAGGTCTGACCATCACCAAAGTCATTAGGATTACTATATATATATATAATTATAACAATAAGACATTTTATTTGTATAGAAACTCAAAGACGCTTCTTTACAGGATAAGAACAATAAAAGAAACTAATACAAAAGAAAATATATATCACAAACCAAGTCATGATTGCATTATCTGTCCGAAAAATGAGATGTTTAACCTAAATATTTAGCGCTAGTCTATGCACAGCAGTTAATGAGATATTCCAGTCTAGACAAAGCTGAGAGGCCACTGTCAACACTTTAATCCGGACTATGTTTTGAGTAGAGAATAGCTCCAAAGTAAACCATTCACCATGAAGCCTGTGGATTGTCAAAAAAAAAAAACCCTGACATTCTTTCTGAAAAGTTATTTTGTAATTTGTGTGCTCCAGTCCTTTAACTGCTGCTGGAGTCTGTGTCTGATGTTCTCCGTAATAGATGTTGATATTTCCTATTAGTTTTGTGTATTTTCGGGGCCTTCTGTCATCCTAAGTGCACGCTCATGTTCAAGTTATCTTGCCAAGAATAGCAAAGACAGCATCGCTCGCTTGTATCCCTGCCATCCCAACAAACTAAAGAGCTCTGCATAATCTTCTAGGATTTCATGCTGACTGCTCCTTGATGCAGAAGACATGCTGGGGGTCCATATGTGCGGTGCCAGTGACAACTGTCACTCCTTGTGCTCTCTGAGGGTGCGATTAGGGCATTAGCCACCAGAGAGGGGATTCTTTCCACTTGCTTTAATCTGGATCCTGGCTTTGTCCGAGTGTCTCTAACTCCCAGCTCTGTAGCATTCCTCTCGTACCACCATAATGACGACACTACCTCCCACTGCAATAATTGCCTCTATTTAGACACCTCAAATATCCTATTACATCTCCAGATTCTACTTTGCTTGTATCAAGTGGTACAAGTTCACTATCATTAAGTTGGGCCTGGAAATATCAAACTGTCTGAGGCTCAAGCACTGCAGCACCAAATATGGGCGCGCACATATTTGAAACTTATGAGGTTTTCTTTTCTATTGTACAGACTTCAGTTCTGATAAGGATGTTGGGAAACTTGGTCTACTAGAGTCAGAGCAATAGCTGCTATAGGTGGTATGTTTTAACTCCTGGTAACTTCATGTAATGTGTCTGATTCACTGTGGATCATAGTTCCAGCAGTAGTCCCACTGTCATTCTGTCTGTGCTTCCCTGTGGACATCTTCCACCTTCTCCTACCCACTACACAACAAGGCCCTGGAGCTGAGTATCAGCTGCTCCCTGCAATTCAGCATTTGGTGCTCTTGGGAAATGCTTGAAATTTTATGCTGAGCCCCCCGGCAGTCTGCTTGTGTTTTGGTGATGAGTGATTAGGTTGTTTTAGACTGTACTATAATGTGGTAATTGGAATTGTTCACGTAAGGTTTTCATAAAACTATCTTTTTAAATCATAGAATCACAAAAATCAAATTACAAAATAGCTAGTGGATTATAGAAAGTCAAAAATGAGGTAAAATTATAAATATCTGACATGATATCTGAAAAGTACCAACTACATGATGTGATGATAATGCTGTGATGTGGCTGGAATCAATACGATTAAAAAAGAAAAAACCTTCCGGATATATATATCATGATATTGAAAACATGCTCAAAACCATAAATCATTTCAACAACAAAGACTAGCTCTAGTATTAAGCAAATTTTTAAACCCATTATCTGTTCATTTGTTCTGGTCTTATTTATTTATTTTTACTTATTTGCATCTTGCTTTTCTGCTCTACCACCTAAATATTGGGTCAATAAAATATTAATAAAATTTTCCATGTCTCACCAGTTTGCATTTATCTTCTGCTGCCTTCTTGTCAGACTCAGCCTGCTCTGCCCTGTCGATGGCATTCTCCTTGTCCAACTTCAGCATCTGCATCTTCTTCTTGATGGCCTCCATGGTGACTGTTGGGTCTTAGTGTTTTGCAGGTTTCAGAGGAAAAAAAAAAAGTTGATTTCTTCAGGTGAAACAGTGGTGTAGAAGTCTAGATGGAAGACGCTTCACAGGAGCCCTCACAAGGTTGACGGAGAGAGCAGCCGGCAGATGCAGAGAGGAGGAGAGAGGCAGAGGAGAGCTCAGGGCGAGTGAGCACAGGAGAGGAGAGGAGGATGCAAACTGAGTATTGGTGGAGCTCTATGTGATTTAAACTTGACTGGAGATTTGGAGACAGCCCCAGTCCCCAGTGACAGCCCTTTCCCATCGGTTGCCCCCTCCGCCACTCCCCGCCTTGCCTACTCTACTTACTGTGCCCCCCTCCCTAATCTAAACTTCACCTCTCAAAGGCTCATTGGAGGAACACCGAGGTGTAGATGTTTTATGCAATGCTCAGCCAATGTCCTTGTTTGTATTTCTTGTTTTGGACAGAACAGGAGCAGAATAACAGATAAGATGTAAGAGAATGATCCAGAACTGAGAAATCAAAAGGACATTGTTCACAATAGTAATATGAATTTCTTTCTCCCCCTTTGTGCTATCTTATGCCTGTGCTCTTACTTAGGAATGTTCAAACTGATGGTAATACCAGAGTTGGTTAGAAAGGACATAGTTTTCATTCTACTGCTGAATGAAAAAGGGCTGTATGGAAAATGATCCAGCCAAAGAAAATTTTGGGGGAAGAGCTCTATGTCTGCATGTGATCTACACCAGGCAGTTGGAACACTGCGCAGACAGAAACCATAGATCCACTGCAATTAGGATCCTTCTAATTACTGTTGGTTGCCAGATTTTTTTTTTAGACCTGTTGCTTGGGATTTGTGGGGCACATAATATAAAAAGTGTTGCTGACTGAGGGGTACAGCTTGTGCTTATGAGAGAAATTCTAGGAATATGGTTTTATGAGATATTTGGAAAATGGGTCATGCTTGGTTTTCACTTCGTGCTTTTTATTTGCAGATATGAAATCAGAAAGTCAGAGCAGATATCAAACGACAAGAAAAGGACCCTCAGAAACTGAAGGTAGAATATATATTGACAATGATGTTTTTATTTTGTAATCTAGAAGTCATCTTGGTGCATACTGTGGTAAATTTGACATTTTTAGCGGGTGGGAGGTGCATACTGTACATCTGTGTATGTGCCGATGACATCAGCATTGATGGACTTCTGTGCCAGCTGCCCCGGCTAAAAATAAAGATTACAAGAAAACTCAGAGGAACAGTGCAGTAGCCATTTAAAGTGACATCTAAGGATAAATTTAGACAAATGCATCTCTTATTTTTGACATTGCATTGCCACTTTTGCAGTATATATCCTCTTGGTTGACGTTATTGTTATGCAGACCCTATCCTGGCTGTGCTTTGGTACAGAGGACACTGTCCAGGAAGGACAAATTGAAACCAAACCTGAGAATCTGTGTTTTCTGCAGGTACTTTAGGGAGCACATTCTTTATTGTCTAGTAAAGACCATGCACCTGCAAATGTATAGATTTTAAAACTGATTTAGGTTTTTTCTTGTTAACTTCAGGGGTTGGTTTTTCTTTTAGTTTTTGGGCCTTTTAAAAAAAAAAAAAAATTCTTTTAAAAACATTTTGATGTATGATAAAAAGCAACATCACACAGCTAAAAACCTGTTTTAAAGTTTAGTCTTGGTTTGGGTGATGCAGAAATTGTTTTCAGGGCCTGTTACACCTCATATCACATCAGCAGATGGGGAATGTAATATACAGTCACAAATATGATCAGCTCCTAAAAGACACCTTTTACCTGCATTTTGAGGTTGCCTTCCCAGAAGCCCCCCCTAAGGAAACATGCCACATTGCCAAATTTGAAGGAATACAATGTACAAATGTTTGAAATAAGAGTACAACATTACTCTAAGTGCAACATGAGCGTTTTCTTCAACAGAGGAAGGAAGCTGGAGTGTGTTTTGGCAGGAGGTAATGAAAGTAGTGACAGTTTAATAGCTGGGGGTTAACACGAGCTTAGATCACAGCCCTGAGTGATAAGAGTGGTGGCTCTGGACCTTATTTGGTCTGTCAGGATAGTGACTGCACTGTGTTATGATTACAAATTTTACTTTGTGAAACTCTTCTTCAGGTTTAATAGTGATGTTAAAGGAGGTTTGCAGCAGCAACAGAGGAAGAGAACACAGAGAGAGAGAGAGAGAGAGAGAGAGAGAGAGAGAGAGAAAGAACAGGGAAATAGAGGCAGAGTGAATCAGAAGAGGAGCCAGAGAAATCAGAACCCTCCCACAGGAAACTGAGCTAAACTCCTCTTCTCCTTGTATGGTAAAAACTCCCCCAAAAGCCACAGCATCGCCTTGGGAGTAGAGTGAAAGGCCTGCTAAGTATAAATCACAAGGCTATGGGGATGGTGGAACAGATTAGAGTTTATATGAACGCTACCATGAAGAATACAAACTAGTTTTTACTAGTCCTAAGTGCTTAATGTCATGGAAGGGAATATATGAATATTACAGTTGGATCTCAAATGTTTTCAAACTGATGACCAAAACACAACATTCATTTTACTCACACCAACAGTTGTACTTAATGCAGAGATTCATCTCAGTGGAGAAGAATGAACATCCAAGATTCTAAAAGCCTGCTGTGGCAATACCTGACTAATCAAATGTAACACCTGTGTGATGCACTGACTCATAGCGTACTGAGACAAGTCTAGCTGCCAGGCTTCTGTACAAACATGTCTGTTAACTACGCAACTACCAAGGCACAAACACTGTGTACAGCGTCTGGAAGTGGTTGAGGGAAGTAGCAGTCTGTTATATTTGGGTCTGTAACTCAGTCCACTTGTATCCATGACTTCTGACAATGTCTAGCCTCCATCTTAGCAGCCAAGGGATCACAGATCTGTCAGTTTGAGGGGCTACAGTTGTCTTGCAAAAGACCAGTGCTGAAAGGCTTTTCACACGAATGCTCTTTGAGGGGGGAAAGGGATTCTGGTCAGTTTTTATTAATGCAACACATTTTTAATGTTCTTATTTCAGTTTGCTCTCTGCTTAATTGAAATGGAAATGAAGATTTTTCCCGGTGTGTTTATCACAAAACTGTCTATTCACACATCCTGTTCCTTGAAGCTGTGATACAACACACAGATGTAAAAAGTACCAGCTGTTTGTTTAACACACTTGAGCAGGCTTTTAAAGTTATTTCAATGTTAAGCCTGTGCTACCTCAATAATTAGTCCAGTAGCTTTGTGCATTATAAGACACTGACATATTAATAAGCGGTATATTTTTAGACGTATGAAGCAGCAATACTTCTACTTATGTTTCAGGAGTCTTTTCACCTCTGATGAAGTCAGTATTTGTTGCTTGGCTGCCATTCGAGCTTTACACATCAGCAGTTATAGTCATCAGGATGATCAAGTGCATTAGGTTGAAGTATAGAGTGACTGGTGTAAAAGCCAGATCACGTCAACATTTATGACAGCGAAGATTTACAGAGATTTAAATCATTTAAATTAAATCAAGTTCGACTTGAGTGAAGACTTTTGGTTTTTCATTTCGTTTCACTTCAGTTAAGAGAAGCTACAACACCACAGCAGATGGTAATGTTTATGACTGTATTTTGAGAAGTCTGAGGCTAGTTCGTCATCGTGTCAACACACCTGTGCAGGACCAGAGAGAAATGCTTGTCACAGTTTGGTGCGGAAAGATTTAACTGACCTGAACAGAGCCCAGATCCCAGCTGTCTAACCTGTGGGATGAACTGGAACACCAACCATGAAACAGGCATTATCTCTCAACATTAGTGCCGGAGATGACCAGATTTTGTAGAAAGCTTTGAAATGAAATGTTTAAAAATTTAGAAGGGGTGCAAAAAACCCAGTGACATGAAGTAATGGAAGGGTGGAAAGAAGAAAATAAGGGGTTTTAGTTAGATTAAAGAAATGGTCATTATTGAAAAACAAACAAACAAACAAACAAAAAAAAAAACACTAGCACAAATTAAATGTAATTATGAGCTCATTTTTAAATAACATGTATATGGAGATTAATTTTTATTCTAGCCAACCACATGTTTGTTTATTGCATAATGGCATGTTTAACTATCACTCCATCTTGAAGGCTGATTTGTAAAAGATGAAAACAGCTGGAAAGGTTCTGTCTTGTGATGATCATCATGTGGCAACATCCAGTGCTCCAGTAGGGGGTGCTACAAGACTAAAGCAAAGAAAGCACGGGGTTAGCACAATTCACAAACCATGAAATAAATAACTGGGTAAATCTATAAAGTTGTACAAATTAGACAGACTATAACAAACTCTGGATAGGTTTGAGAAAGTAGCAAAATACAAGAAAAGAGTTTCTGCACAGTCATATCAACATATAGTTAAGGAATTGGAAAATGAATGATGGGGCCATTAGTCAAACAGTTTTAATACCAGCCGTTTCACCATGGCTACTGCCTCAAGCATCTAGTGATTTCTTAATTTTGGATCATGTTCTTTCCAGTCAAAAAGAAATATTACACTGGAGGTTAATGTGAACACTGTATTATAGGAGATTTATGGGAAATATGTACATCTTTTCTTCTTTTTTTTTTTACAGATGGGTCAATAATCAACAAGTACTGCCTTCCATGTCTCAGAGTTAAAAGTCAAGGTGAGTAAAAGAACTACAGATCATATAACTGTATAACTGTATATGCAGTTGAAATGAGGGCTGTCTTGTTTGGCCTTTGCCTTCACTCGTTTGCTCAGACTCAAGTGCAGCTTTGTTAGTCTCAAGCAAACCTTAAAGATGCAGCAGTATATCCTCTATGACATTCTGAAATCTATAGAATACAATTATTAGATCAGGAACTGATTTACAGTTTTTATGAGTACCATGTATACGGGCAACTAGGGAAATGAGATTGTGGATCAGTTAGATAGAAACCAAGTAGAAGTTGCATAAGTAATAAAATAGAGGCAGAAAACTTTTATATGGAAAAAGATTAAGGCACAGTGGGATAATAAAGAAAGGCATTTATTTCAGCTTCAACAAGTGGCAGGAGAGGGAAGGCCACATGGGAAAGACACAAGACAAGAATGTGTGATGAGCAGAACAAGTCTGGGACAAACAAAACGACACTTATCTCTACACCTCATCTGGAAGCATCTAACTGCAACTCGTGAC